CTTTCCTCTGTCTATCTCTCTATCTCTCTCTCTCTCTCTCTCTCTCTCTCTCTCTCTCTCTTTCTTTCTTTCTCTCCCCTCTCTATCTTCATATGTACGTCCGACCCACTACCCAGTATATCTTCTCCCTCTCAGTCTCGTGCGCACAGGCTCATTAAGTATCAACCTATTGCGTGCCGCCCCCTGCTAAGCGTTACAGCCTTTCTATTCATACACATGTGTTTATTTTATGGCTTCCCTGTTCTCATCGCACGCATTTATTGGTATTTTGTGTGGTTAATTTTTCATATAATTTCGTATATAGTCGCGTGCGTCACGATGCACACTTCATATGTACATGGCGCAAAACAACAAACGCCTTCTCCTCCTCCTCCTCTTCGCAACGTCAGTGTAAAACCGATTGCGTTCTATTCTAGATTCTATTATGCGTTCTATCTAGACTGCCGGTGCATTCTAGCGCGGTCCTTAGGTTGTAGACCCTAGGCTGTAGTAGTTGCCACGTTGATAAGGTTTTGTAACGATGTTCGCCTCTCTCTCGTCCTCCTCCTCATCTTCTCTCCTCTTCTCTCTCTCTCTTTCGTCTCTCTCTCTTCTCTGTCTCTCCTCTCTCTCTCTCGTCTCCTGTCTTCCTTCTCTCCTCTCTCTCTCTCATCTCTCTCTCTCTATAGTCTATGTTATCCTGTCTCCTCGTCTCTGCTGTCTAATGTCTAGCTGTCTTCTTTCTCTGTGTCTAGTCTCTCTATCTCTCCTCTCTTCTCTCGTCTTCTCTCTCTCTCTCTCTCTCTCTCTCTCTGTCTTATGTCTCGCTTCTTGTCTATGTCTCTCTCTGTGTTTGTCTATTGTGCTCTCTCTCTCTCTCTACTCTCCTTCTTCTCTCTCTGTCTCCTTCTTCTCTGTAATGTGTCTCATGTCTCTCTCCTCTCTTCTAGCTTCTCTCTCTCTCTCTCTCTCTCTCTCTCTCGCTTCTGTCTATTGTCGTTCTCTCTCATATCTCTTATCTCTTGTCGTATTGTCTCTCTCTTCTCTTTTCCTATTCACTCGTCACACACATTTTCCTTCTCCTCTATTCTTCTTTCGCTCGCTTTCCCATTCCTCTGCCCTTTCTCTCGCCCTCCAGTCGCCTCATCATATTCCTTTCCCTTTCCCTACGTGTACTTTCTCTTTTCTGGCGACTGTTCGTAATAGTTCGGCTCGCTGTTATATATTTAGAACTAATCTATTGTACGGATTTCTTTGCTATGACGCTATTTAGCCTTTAATAATGCGAATGCCGAAATCGTTGCCCTTCAAATTTACGCAAACACGGACTGGACAGCTCTGGCCGTTAGAACGTAGGAGGATGACTGGCGGGCGGTTATGACGGTGGCTGGTATGTTATCTGATAGGATCTACGGCGATATGCTGCTTTCAGAAATATTCTTCATGTGTAACTCGGATGACCAGTAAGAATTTACGCGCAAAGAACATGCGTAGCGGCATTTTGTATGCACAAATGACAAGTAGCAAGTATAGAGTCACTTATTATGTTTCGAACAGTATGGATCTTGATTTAATTCTATTTGAAAAGATTGTCGTGCTTTCTAGTCATTAAATTTTCGTGATGATTCGATGTTTGCTAATACGTGAACAAATGTACCGATTTGCCGAAGACATGTAATACTTTTTCGGGCCTTTACAGATAGAGGTCACAATACGCAGCGTTGCGCGTAGATAGCAGTCGACTAGCTGGCGTCTTGTTTGTTTTTTTGCGCCGCATGAACATATGAAGTGTGGCATCCGTGACCGCGCACTGCGACTATATAACGAAATTATATGAAAAATTAACCCACAAAATTTATACGCATAATATGCGTCATGGGGAGAACAGGGAAAGCCATAAATAACACACCATAGTGTATGAATAGAAAGAGCTTATCTGTACGTTAGAGGGTGGGCGGCACGCAATGGGTGATAACTAATGGAGCCTGTGGGCACTCGGACTGAGGAAGGTGAGAAGTACTGGTAGTCGGTCGGACGTACATTATCGAATTAGGGAGGGGGAGAGAAAGAGAGGATGAGGAGAGGAGAGACGAGAGTCAAGAGGAGAGTCAGAGCGATTGAGAGAGAGAGAGAGACGAGAGAGGAAAGCAGGAGACGAGTGGAGAGAGGAGAGGAGTCAGAGCAGGAGAGAGAGAGAGAAGGAGGGGAGAGAGAGAGAGAGAGAGAGAAAGAGAGAGAAGAGAGAAGAGGATAGGGAGAGAGAGAAGAGAGAGGACGAAGAGATAGAGAGAGAGAGAGCATAGAGAGATAAGAGAGGAGAGAGAAGAGAGAGTAGAGAGATAGAGAGGCGGAGGGGAGGAGAGAGATAGAAAGAGCGAGGAGAGAGACGAGAGCGGACGCCGACCGGGACTGCGAGGAGCCTCAGGGAGGGACGACGAGAGAGAGAGAGGGATCGAGAGGAGAGATTAAGGACTTAGAGCAGAGAGAAAGGCAACACCCGGAA